TGAGATTAGGATCTTCTCTATACCAATTCATGCCATATTCAATGTCGCCTTCAGATTCCCCAACTTTTTCATCAGATACTACGGGACCTGGTTTCTTTTGGGGAACGCATGATTCAGGAGAACGTTGAATTAAGGGAGGAATACGCAAATTTCGATTACGAGCAGACGGATGATGGGTAATAAAAGACATTAAAGCATAACGAATTAATTCAGGATCAGTAGTTTCAGTTGCTTCATTTGCATACTCAAGAACTTTCTCGATGGGATTATCAGGATTTTCGTTAGCGATTTTCATAAATTTTGCACAGTAATTGTAGGCTTCTCTAATTTGGTCACGGTTAAACTGTTAAAAAAAGGTTAAATTAGTTTTGATAATATCATCAAAATTAATTGAATATATTATATCAAATTTATTAACATACTGGACTGAATCTACTGCTAGTTTTGTTACTTTTAGGGACTCTTAAGAATTCGTTGACAGATTTTTGTTGATCAGTTAATATTCCACCTTTTTTGGCAGTTTTTAACCCTTTTCTTGCTTTAGCGAGAGACATTTTGTCAATAAAAGGATTGAGTTTTTAGGAAAAAAAAAGGAGTAGTTTGAACTTTGTGATAAAAGAAAAAATAATAAAATCAATTATCAAGAATTAATTATCGTTACAAATATTAAGAGTTGGTTAAGTAGTTTTGCTATTATGAAAATATAAGATTGGCAGAACTACAAGGAAAACTTTCTTGAGGGAAAATTGAAGCCTTTTTATACTTTATTTTTCAATCTAAAAAAAAAGGTCAGGGAATCAAAGTATGCACGGCTAAAAAGACGCTCCTGTGATCATAGATTTAGATGTAAAGAATTGCAATAATAAATTAAAGTTTGTAGATCAAAAAAACCAAATTACTTTAACAAGGAAATATTATAAAATGATAAATTTTTTTTTTTATATTAATTACTTAAACAAGAAAATGTTATAAAAATTACTAGTTACTTAAACAAGGAATTATTTTAAATAACTAATTACTAAAATAAGGAAATATTATAAAATGCTAGATTTGTCATACCTAATTAACCGATAACATGTTGCTGTTTTCGTCAATATATTTATCCGATCCATGTGCTACAGTATGATTAGGATTGCACGTGATTTAAAGCAAGATGTTTTGAATCAGTTTTTTTTATTGATTTAAAAAACTTTTTTTTTTTTTTTTGGAGTCTAAGATTGTAAAATAAAAAAAAATTAATATTATTACCGTTTCTTGCATCATGTTGTGATCTAGTATCATTCAAAAAAGATTTTATTAAGTAGGTTTAAAACATTGATCGGCATGATTATTGCGTAAATTATATTTTAACCCTTTTCTGTGTTTTTAAGCAACCTTTAGTGATCTCTTTGCAAAACAGCTTTTTTAAAATTATTTCTCGTGGAAGACCACCATCAGAAGACGTCCGTAAGCACTTTGAAAAAGTTACAGAAGTACACCTCGCCAAAAGTGTAATTATTGTGAAAATGACATTATTGATTTAATTGATCGATTAAAAGATCATTTGATGAAATGTAAAGTTTTCCAGAAGATTTAAATTATACTATACAATAAGATGCTTAAATTTTTATTGCAAATATATATGAATTACGTAATAAAGGCTAGTGCTTAATGTTTTAAAACTTATTTAAAATATGTTTTAAACCGCCAAAATTGTTTTAAAATATGTTTTTTGCCATCCCTAGCTACAAATACATAAACAATCTACTTTTTATTTCTAAATAATTATTTTTAATATTTTACATTTTTTTCCCACAGATAATAGTTAATAATAAGTTAAGATTTCTCTTTTTGGGGATGTTTCAATTGTTATGCATAATTAAGATCCTACAGGAAAAAAAACTAATAATAGGGAAGTTTATATAAATTTTTTTTTTTTGCGGCACAGTGCGCCACCAAATGATCGATCACGTGATATTAGCTGTCCCTCAAGTGACGTCATCCAATGAATTTGAACTTACTTCCTAGTATTATTATTGTCCGGAGCGTAGCGAAGGACTATATAATTTTACGAAGGTCGATGACAATTAGTGTCACGTGGCGATTTCCGGTTGTCCGCACGCGTCATTTCTGATTGGTCCGCACAGAATGTGTATAATTTCGTGCTACTAGCCCTGTTCATTTCTAGATCGGACCGGATTGATCGCAAATTTGTACCCCAAAATAATTGGTTACTGATGCGGTCAGCGGTCAGTCAAGCCGATCTACAAAAATTGGTGTTTTTCCCTGATCGATTTTATAATAAACATAATAAACAACAACTACGTGTTTTTGCCCTATAAGCTATTATGGATATATAAACCAATCCGATCAATCAAAATTGTGCTCAATTGTAACTATGATCTGATTGGTTATACATTTTTTCGGTCAATCCGATACGATCTAGAAATGAACAGGGCTACTGTACATCAAAAATAAACAAGTAAAAAAGTTTATTACCTTTTTTTTTTAGATTTCGGCTAGTAAGTATGTTTTTCTTTTAAACGACTTTCTTATTTTTTTCCTAGGGTTTCTGGATTTCTTGTACATACCGGACTGGTGAGTTGTTTTTTATTTGTTTTGCTTTAAAGAAACGTTTTTAGCGTTTCATTTTTATTTTCTTTTATCTAGGAACACAGGTTTTTTGTACATGCCGGACTTTTAAAGGTAAATTGTAAGGGCTTTTCTTACTTGTTTAACCTTAAAGAAACGTTTCTAACGTTTCATTTTTTATTATTATTTTTTTAGGGATGCCAGATTTTTTGTACAAATTGAATTTTTAAAGATATTTGGATTTTTGTACAAATCTTTCGTTCCGGACTTACATCGGTTTCCATTTCCTAGTAATAATTATATATTAGGACCGTTTATGCAATTTTTATAATAAACTCCCGTTACTATTCAATAATTTTATTATTATGCTAATACATAGTAATATGAGATAACCGACCTAAATAACAACTGCATGAACTTATGAGAATAACTGATAATACTTAATACATGCACGAAGTTTGTAAATATATTACATACTTTAATAGAATAATGGGCTTTTTAAGCAGTTATATGTTACTACACATTTTTATATATAGTAGTTTCGTTCATTCGAAAATACTATTTTATAACTTTTTTCTTGTAAATAAACGTTTTTATTAAATATTTAGTAAAGTTGTAAAATTTTTTAATAATTTTGTCTTTGTACGAAAATTCACTTTACTTTTTTAGACGATGACTTACTAATCAAAATGATCATAACCTTAAAAATGAAAATAAATATTTAACAAATTTCCTAAATTTATGTTCATTATTAAGTTATATTTACAAAACGGTTGGTTAGCAACCTTCAACGACGACTTCAGGAAATTCATCAACCCAATTAATGCAAATATCTCTAATAACAACATTATTTAATCCAGCAAACGTCTGTGAAATTTGATAAGATAAAAATTAATAAAAATTAATTCTTCTCCATGACAAAAATTTCGAAATATTTTTCTTTCCTTACCTCTTCATAGGAATTATTTTTGAACGGTCTATCAAATGGATAACCCATAGGTTTCTTATCGGGATATTTTTCAGACGCTTCAGAAGCGCAGAAACTAATACTTCCACATCTACTTATTCTTGGTACTTCATCTTCAGACCAATCGGAAATAAATACTAACAATTTAAATTTCATTCCTCCTCTCCTTCCTCTGGGTAATAATAAATGGAAAGGCCAACCACAATCACAATAGCTTTTATGCTTATTTACTGTAGTACCAGTACCAGTCGGAAGAGCTGTATCATCTAATTCATCTTCGGTTTTCTGCGGAGGTTGACGTACGATTGATGACATATCACAATCACGACATACTACCGTTTTAGAATTGGGAGGTAAACTTTCTTTGAATTTATCTAATTCAATCCAATGACATCTTGATTCAACTAATTCCTCTGGTACTATAAAGACGCGGAATGTAGCTTCAAATTGACATGATGAAGTATTTTCAACACGGAAATAATAATAAAATTCCCTTGGGTATAAATAATCTATCTTCTCGGGTGATTGTGAATCTTCAGTATACACAAATATTCTGGACTTCATTTTCGTTTGTAATTCATGTGTAACATACTTATTATCTGATACATCCGTATCAAAATTTTCTCCACCAAATGTTTTTTCACCAAATGCAGCTGCTTCATCATCTTGAGTTTCTCCATGGTTTATAGGTAATTTATCTTTAAATACAAGAATGATATCTTGAAGCCCTACAGGTGGTGAATTGGAAAAGTCATTCGGTTCTTGTTTTTCTTCCCATGTATTGATCAGATTATCTATATGACGATGCCATCTCCAAAATGCCGGATCACGTACAGCAACGCGTGTTTGAGTCATCACACCAGGATCGTCATCGTCATTTATGTCTCCTATAGCACCGTGACCGTCGCCATGTAAACCACCTTGTTTATCAACCATTTCCTGTATTCCTGGAATATTGGAAGGTTCAACAAAAGCGCCCAATAGATCAACAGTGATCTCAATATCATCCGTCAATTTACCCATTTCGATAGCTTTTTCGAGCACTTTACGTTTTTTTTCCAATTCATTGATTTTATTTAACTTAAGTGCTGAATTAGGTTCACGAGATCCAAATGTATCAATTTTACCTACACTTTCATCATTTCGATCACGCAAATTTGTGTTAGGTTTATATCCTTCCTCAATTGGGGCACGATAATTATCCAAAGGTTTGATCAAAGGTAAATTCATTCCTAGACGTTCGATATCATATCTTGCCAGCATTTGTCTATGCATGTAAACGAACAGTTCACCATGTCGATCTTTATTAACACGGATATCAGGATTTTTATAATCAGGAATACCTTGACCACTATAAACGATATGCCAATGTTCGTGATGTTCACTGAGATTAGGATCTTCTCTATACCAATTCATGCCATATTCAATGTCGCCTTCAGATTCCCCAACTTTTTCATCAGATACTACGGGACCTGGTTTCTTTTGGGGAACGCATGATTCAGGAGAACGTTGAATTAAGGGAGGAATACGCAAATTTCGATTACGAGCAGACGGATGATGGGTAATAAAAGACATTAAAGCATAACGAATTAATTCAGGATCAGTAGTTTCAGTTGCTTCATTTGCATACTCAAGAACTTTCTCGATGGGATTATCAGGATTTTCGTTAGCGATTTTCATAAATTTTGCACAGTAATTGTAGGCTTCTCTAATTTGGTCACGGTTAAACTGTTAAAAAAAGGTTAAATTAGTTTTGATAATATCATCAAAATAAATTGAATATATTATATCAAATTTATTAACATACTGGACTGAATCTACTGCTAGTTTTGTTACTTTTAGGGACTCTTAAGAATTCGTTGACAGATTTTTGTTGATCAGTTAATATTCCACCTTTTTTGGCAGTTTTTAACCCTTTTCTTGCTTTAGCGAGAGACATTTTGTCAATAAAAGGATTGAGTTTTTAGGAAAAAAAAGGAGTAGTTTGAACTTTGTGATAAAAGAAAAAATAATAAAATCAATTATCAAGAATTAATTATCGTTACAAATATTAAGGGTTGGTTAAGTAGTTTTGCTATTATGAAAATATAAGATTGGCAGAACTACAAGGAAAACTTTCTTGAGGGAAAATTGAAGCCTTTTTATACTTTATTTCTTTATTTTTCAATCAAAAAAAAAAAAAGGTCAGGGAATCAAAGCACGGTGCACCTGCAAGGCTAAAAAGACGCTCCCGTGATAATAGATTAGATGTAAAGAATTGCAATAATAAATTAAAGTTTGTAAATCGAAAAACCAAAATTACTTAAACTTAAACAGGGAAATATAATAAATGATAAATTTTTTGTTATATTAATTACTTAAACAAGAAAATGTTGTAAAAATTATTAGTTACTTAAACAAGGAAATATTATAAATAATTAATTACTAAAATAAGGAAAGATTATAAAATGATAGATTTTGTAGATTTTGTTATACCTTTCTTTTTTTTATAATAATTACTTAAACCGTAAAATGATAAACTTTCTTTGTTTATATTAATTAACTGATTAAGTCATATTGACGTTTTCGCAAATATATTTATCCGATCCATGTGCTAATTGTGCTATGATACAAAAACAATCTACACAATATACCTTATTCTTGATAATGTTACAATTGTTTCCTGCATAATTATTAAGATTTGTTAATATACTAATACAAAGGAGAATCGGGGAAAATCTTATTAATGCCGATGATTAATTTTTTTTCTTTTTTTTTTATTTGTTTTTTTTGGGTAATACAATCTCGTTTTTACGCGTGAAGTTAAAGAGACCTTAAATGGATATATTAGTTTTACAAAATAATTGGAATCGGTCTTGCATATTGTTTCATTGTTTGGGCACAAGTCACAAATCATCATGGAAGATATCGTATGCACGTAAGATTCCCTTGAATTCTTTCAGTAGAAGAAGAAAACAAATTACAAACAAATAATAATGTAGGTGAAACGTACCGTAACCACTCGGGAGTCAATTTTGCCGAATAAATATTTCGCCGAATGACCCTTTAGGCCTTTACCGAAGCCATTTCGCTGACTGAAATGGTAGCGATCAACATTTTTACAATGTGCTCGATAAAAAATGAATAATTTCTAAAGAATGAATTCTTTTATAACCTATTTTTATTTAAAATATCTTTCTTTCGTAGGGTTACGATACGTTTCACCGAAGTTCATTTCGCCGAAAACCATTTCGCTGAAGTCATTTCGAGGGAGTTCCGCCGAAAGAACATTTCGCCGAATGTGCATTTCATTGAATGGACATTTCGCCGAATCCTTTTCCCCGAATCGTCCATTTCGTCGAAGGACATTTCGTCGAAAATGTGAGTGATTAACATATTTCCTTGATCATTAACAACTCATGCTCAAAGTACAAATCCTCTTAAACTATCTTTTTTTTAAACAAACGTGACTTAATATAGTGTGTTAAATAATTCGTTTGTCTTCTCAGCGAAATGCCCACTCGGCGAAATGGCACTTCGGTGAAACATCCCTTCGGCGAAATTGGCTTGGCGAAATGGGTTTCGGTGAAAAGAACCCGCGAAAAGTCCGAATACCCTTTTGGAACACTGACATTTTAACATTCAAGTAACTTATATAATTGTTACATAAAAACAAACTTTAATTTTCTTTTTTTTAAAATTGATGATGATAGAATAAATTAATTGATCTCTTAATTGAGAATTACAAAACTGGAAATAAAAATGTATTGATAATTTTAAAATTCATATTGGTAAAAATGGATCATTCAGGGAAAGGATTCGACAAAATATCCATTCGACAAAATATCCATTCAGTCTCCTCGGCGAAACCTCATTACGAACCATATGGCTTCAGCGAAATTGGTTTCGGTGAAACGTACCGTAACTACCGTATCCCTATACAGTAAAAATAATAAGATAATAAGCGTTGAATAGTTCAACCTTGTAAAAAATTTTTTTATCCATAATTTCTGTAAAAACTCCGTGAATATGATATGATCCATTTGCGGAAAAATAACTAAAAATCTAAGCAACTTGGATAATTTCCATGTTTTGAAGCTATAAATTCCGTGAATATGATTTACCGGAAATAATCCGGAATAAAAAAAAACACTGAATAAATTTTTTATAGGGTGAAAAAAACTTATCTTTTTAATTAACCTAACTTTAAAAAATGGTTACGGTACGTTTCGCCGAAGTCCATTTCGCCGAAACCCATTTCACTGAACTCATCTCGCCGAAGGGAGTTTCATCAAAGACAACTCGCCGAATCCTTTTCCTGAATCGTCCATTTCGTCGAAGGACACCTCGCCAAAAATGGTAGTGATTAATATATTTCCTTAATCATTAACAATTCGATACAAAGAAAATAAAAAATATTTCGGAATTGATGAGTACGACGAATTTGTTATCTTTTTTTGAACTTACTGTAAAGACTGAATAAATTAATTTTCTTTAATTAAAAAAAATCAAACAAACGTGTGTAAATAATCCGTTTGTCTTCTGAAAAAGAAAAGGAAAATTAATTAATTCCCTATCTTCGGCGAAATGTCCCTTCGTCGAAATGGCTTCGGCGAAATGTCCTTAGGTAAAATGGCTTCGGCGAAATCGGTAAAATGGCCATTCGGGGAAATGTCCATTCGGGGAAATGGTATATCAGCGAAATGGCACTTCGGTGAAACATTCTTCGGCGAAATTGCTTTGCGAAATGGGTTTCGGTTAGACGAACTTCGGTGAAAAGTCCGGATATTTAACTACGAGTTGCGTAGCATAACTAAGCATCTGATTGTGCAGGAAAAATAAAATTTCAATATTTATTGGGGAAGCTGTATTATCATTAATTCATCATTATATGTACTAATGCCAATAATAAAAAACTATTTAAACATTTTGTGTGCGTTTTTTTTTAGCAGTTGCATCACCTCTCAGATTTTTTATTTGGATAATATTTTGTGGTTTCGTTGATCTGTCACACGCATCACGAATATGCTGTCGCTGCGTTATAATATCATCAACTCATCATATACCTGTAAAAATGTTTGTTTTGATAAAATAAAAGATCATTTATATCATGCTAATCCAATTGAATGTCTTCAGTTTTGCAAGAAATTGGATTTATCAGAATTATGATATTTCCAAATAAACGAACATTTGATAATTCAAAAAAAAAAAAAAAATTTCACGTAGTTCAAAGTTATATTTTATAAAATTTTTTTTTGCAATTTTTTATGATTTTATTAATAAAAAAAGAAAAAAATTACATAATGTTCCAAAAAATATTTTGGCCAAAACTTTTTTTGGAATACATAATTTTTCGATCGAAATATTTAATTGAAATAAATAAATAAATAAATAAAATTTAAAAAAAATAATGTCCAATGAATAAAATAAAATAAAATATAATGTTCATATATACAAAAAGCTAGCTTTTAGAAAATCAAATTATCTTAGGATCTTTTAAAAAAAAAAAAACTTAGTTTTTTTTTTTAATGTAGGAAATCACACTTTGCAAATTGTTATAAGAAAAAATATGAAAAATAAATATTTAAATATTTACAAAATGGTTTGGTTAGCAGCTGTCTTCAACGACGATTTCAGGAAACTCATCAACCCAATTAATGCAAACATCTCTAATAATAGCATTATTTAATCCAGCAAACGTCTGTGAAATTTAATAAGGTAAAAATTAATAAAAATTAATTCCTCTCCATAACAAAATTTCGAAAAGATTTTCAAATTTACTTACCTCTTTATAAGAATTATTTTTGAACGGTCTATCAAGTGGATAACCCATGGGTTTCTTGTCGGGATATTTATCAGCCGCTCCTTCAGCACCGCAAAAACTAATACTTCCACATCTACTTATTGTTGGTACTTCATCTTCAGACCAATCGGAAATAAATACTAATAATTTATATTTCATTCCTCCTTTCCTTCCTCTGGGAAGTAATAAATGGAAAGGCCAACCACAATCACAAAATCGGTCATTATTATTATCTACTGGAGTAGTATCAATCGGAAGAGCTGTATCGTCTAATTCATCATCGGTTTTCTGCGGAGGTTGACGTACGATTGATGACATATCACAATCACGACATACTACCGTTTTAGAATTAGCAGGTAAACATTCTTTGAATTTATCTAATTCAATCCAATGAACTCTTGATTCAGCTAATTCCTCTGGTACTAGAAAGACGCGGAATGTAGCTATAAATTCACTTGCTGAAGTATTTTCAACACGGAAATAATAATAAAATTCCCTAGGGAATAAATAATCTATCTCCTCAGTTGATCCTGAATCTGAAATATATGTCCACACTCTAGTTTTCATTTTTGTTTCTAATTCATTTGTAACAATATCATTTTTTGATACGTCCGTACAAAAATTTTTTCCACCAAATGTTTTTTCACCAAATGCAGCTGCTTCTTCATCTTGGGTTTCTCCATGGTGTATAGGTAGTTTATCTTTGAATACAAAAATGACATCTTGAAGTTTTACAGGTGATGAATTGGAAAAGTCATTCGGTTCTCGTTTTTCTTCCCATGTTTTGACCAGATTATCTATATGACGATGCCATCTCCAAAATACCGGATCACGTGCAGCAACGCGTGTTTGAGCCATCACACCAGGATCATCAATTATGTGTCCTATAGTAAGGTGACCACCTGCATGTAAACTACCATAATATTTAATCAAATCACCTTTTCCATAAGATTCGAGAACAGCGCCCAACGTATCAATATCGATCTCGGCACCATTATAAAATTTACCACAATTAACAGCTTCTTCGACCTTTTTACGATTTGCATCCATTGCTTTAAGTGTGAAAGGACCATCTTTTTTACCATAATCACGATTTTTTGACCCAGGTTTACGAGAACCAAAAGTAGAGTAAGGATCATCTTCATCTTCTGCATCAACCAAATTTTCGTTAGGATGATATCCTTCATCAATTGGGGCAAAATAATCATCAAGAGGTTTAATCAAAGATAAACCTAGTCCAAGACGTTCGATATCATATCTTGCCAGCATTTGTCGATGCATGTAAACGAACAATTCACCATGTCGATCCTTATGAACACGGATTTTAGGATCCTTAACATCAGGAACACCATTACTACCATAAACGATATGCCAATGCTCGTGATGCTCATTGAGATTAGGATCTTCTCTATACCAATTCATATATAATTCAGGGTTATCTTCAGTTTCCTTAATCTTTTCAGTAGAATGAGTAGATACCAGGGGACCAGGAGCCAATGAAATGTTCTTCTTCTTGGGAACAGTAGCTCCGGGAGAACGTTTAATCAATGGAGGAATACGCAAATTTTTGTTACGAGCAGACGGATGATGAGTAACAAACATCATTAAAGCATGACGAACTAATTCGAGATTCGAAGTTTCAGATGCTTTATTCGCGTGTTCAACAACTTTCTCGATGGCATTATCAGGATTTTTGTTTGCGATTTCCATAAATTCCGCAGAGAGTTTAAAGGCATCCTCAGCATGTCCAGGGTGAAACTGTTAGAAAAGGTTTAAATTAGTTATGATAATGACATCGAATAATCGTATATATTTATATCAAATTTATTAACATACATGACTGAATTTAAAATTTTTATCTGACTTGTTATGATTATCATGGGTTTCAAAGAATTGGTTGAGAAGTTTTTGATCAGGAGATACTTTTCCACCTTTCTTTTCAGTCTTTAATCCTTTTCTTGCTTTAGCGAGAGACATTTTGTCAATAAAAAGATTGAGTTTTTAAGAAATAAAGAGTAGTTTGAAGTTTGAAATTTGAAATTTCTTTTGTGATAAAAAAAAAATAAATAAAATAAAATAAAATAATCGTTGCAAATGTTGCAAATATTAAAAATTTTTTGAAACCGTAGCGAAACGGTCAAAAAAAAAAGAGAATGAATGATTGTAAATTTTTCTGTGAAAAAAAAATATATATATTATTTTAATATTTGCAAGTAAAAAAAAACGTGATTAAACGTTCAAAAATAATAACAAAAAAGAGTTGTTTGAGTAGTTTGTTGTTAAAAAATAAAAGATTGGTAGAATTATGGAAACTTTCTTGAGGGGAAAATTGGAGCCTTTTTATACTTTATTTTTCATTCTATAAACGAGTCGGGGAATCAAACATGGTGCACACACAAGCAGTGATGTGCATTTGTACTTCCAATTGCATAAATCGCATAAAAATTTGGTTGGAAGGCTTAAATGGCTTTATTAGTTCCAAAGATGCTTCCAATAGTGCTTCCAATTTTCCCAAGGTTAAAAAAAAAGAGACCCCCGTAGTACATAGATTAGATGTAAATAATCTATATCTATAAAATAAATCTAAATGAATACTTTAAAAAATCCTTGACGTTCAGACCACCCGCAAGTGGATTTAAATTGCATTATATGTCACCTGTACTACACGTTTAAAGTACTATTTATATAGTGACAGGGTGTGGTAAGATTTTTATATAGGATTTGGAATGGCGCAGGCCCTAATCTCAATATAGGCGGTAATTATATAGCCTAGCTGAGTTCAGTATAGCGTGATTTTGGCAAAACTCTGTATTTTTTGCTGTATACATATCAAAATTTTCGAATATATTGTTCAAAATTTTTTTAAATTTTTTCATGTAACACATATCAGTACATTAATACTTTAATGTTAGTGGTCAAATTTCGGATGACTTAAATTCTGTGCAAATCATAAAATAATCAAAATAATATATTTTGTTACTATTGTTGTTACTATAGAATTTTGTAGTATTGCATAATTATATAGTATTAGCCAGTAAATTATGCTCTGTATTCTCAATTGTGAAAGGTTATACTCTAATATAGCCATATAGGCTGCATAATGATTGGCGTATAACAAATTTATAGCAACTAATCCGATCAGGTAAAATTTAATTAAACTATAAAAATAATTTACAATGAAATTCTTCACGAGAAATCATTGTCTTTTTAGGAATCGTCATTTTTTTTAAAAAAAAAAATTCAGTTTTTTGGATTTTCCTATATGACGAATTTTCTTTCTTTTTTTTTTAAAAAAAAAAAAAATTATCAGTATTTTGGATTTTCCTCACATGACGAAAAAAATACGCCTTTCTTTAAAAAATTTTACATTTAATTTTTAATTTCTAATGCCTGCACAGCTCTCAACAATTCTTTATATTCAGAATATAGGAAGAAAACGTTAGTGAATTCTTCATAGGAATGGCTACTGGTATACAAGACTTGAAGGTGACTCAGATACTACCCAAATATTTAATATTATCCCTTCGGCGAAATTGGCTTGGCGAAATGGGTTTCGGTGAAAAGGGCTTCGGCGAAAAGTCCGGATACCCTTTCTCGGAACAACATCATTTTAACATTCAAGTAACTTATATAATTGCTACATAACTTTAATTTTTCTTTTTTTAAAAAACTGATGATGGTAGAATAAATTAATTGATCTCTTAATTAAGAATTACAAAATTGAACATAAAAATGTATTGATAATTTTTAAAATTCGTATAAATTCACAATCATGACCATTTTCAGTAAAATGATAAAAATGGATCATTCAAGGAAAGGATTCAACAAAATTTTCATTAAGTGAAAATGCCTCCTCCGAAATCTCATTACGGACAAAATGGTCTCAGCGAAATTGGTTTCGATTAAACTTACCGTATCCCCCTGTAAAAAATTTTATCCACAATTTCTGTAAAAATAACTAAAAATCTAAGCAACTTGGATAATTGAGGCTATAAATTCCGTGAATATGATACATTTACCGGAAATAACATGGAATAAAAAAAAACACTGAATAAAATTTTTATTTGGCGAAAATTAAACAACTTGAGTTATCTTTTTTAATTAACCTAACTTTAAAAAATGGTTACGGTACGTTTCGCCGAAGGGATTTTTCGCCTAATGGGCGTTTTATTGAAGACATCTCACCTAATCCTTTTCCCATTTATGAATTTTGTTTTTTTTTTTTTTTGAACTTATTGTAAGACCGAATAAATTAATTTTTCTTTGATTAAAAAAATTAAACAAACGCGACTTACAATATGCAAATAATCCATTTGTCTTCTGAAAAAGAAAAGGAAAATTAATAAATTCCATATCTTCGGCGAAATGTCCCTTCGCTGAAATGACTTCAATAAGTCATTATATTTTTTAACTATGAGTTGCATAGCATAAACTAAGCATCTGATTGTGCAGGAAAAATAAAATTTCAATATTGATTAAGAAAGCTGTATTATCATTATTATTATTTTTTTATTAGAACTATTATTAAAAGCCGTGAAATATACATATAAGTACTACTATTCTAATATATAAAACCACTCGTCCCCACGTGTGCATTGTCGATGATCATGGGCAATCTTAGCACTACATCTGGTAGATCACGAGACCCATGTATTATCATTACTAATGTTAATAATAAAAAACTTTTTTGTGTGCGTTTTTTTTTGGCAGTTGCGTCACCTCTCTAAGATTTTTTATTTGGATAATGTTTTGTAGTTTCGTTGATCTGTCACACGCATCACGAATATGCTGTCGCTGCGTTATAATATCATCATATACCTGTAAAAATGTTTGTTTCGATAAAATAGATGATCATTTATATCATGCTAAATCCAATTGAATGTCTTCAATTTTGTAAGAAATTGGATTTATCAGAATTATGATATTTCCAAATAAACGAAACATTTGATAATTCAAAAAAAAAAAAAAAAATTTC